GGGAAGGTTGTGAGGAGCTCACAGGACCTTGCAGTTCTAGGATAGCCTTGCTATGTGAAGTACTTGAAGATGGTGAATTTGGGCCTGGACTCCCAGGAAAGGTGGGAAGAAGATGGTGCAGTATCAGGAAGTGAAATCTGTTTAAAAAACACTATGTGGTAACATTTCCTAAATAAAACTTACTTTTTAATTCTTGGTGTGAGATGGGTAAAGTTTTTCCTTTCAAATTAATTCAGGTCTAAATCAAATGTTAGGATGAAAAAATTCTCACTGCCAGAAATCCTACATTTTGGGTGGCTTTAGGAAGCATATAATATGGAATCTATTGCTGCAGGTCTTTTGGTTAGAAAACTCAATAAATGTTTGTTCTGCAACATGAATTATATAGTCACAAGAATGTGTCATGAAGAAATCACTTAGTATAACATACAATAAATGTCAAGAAAAAGCCAAGGAAAGAGAAAGAAATTAAAAGCCCTGTAAAAACATCTGGACATTTCACAATATCTGATAGCACATTAAAGAAATACTAAATCATGTTTTACTACATTTGTAGTAGAATCTAGTAAAATGAGACTATGTTCCAGCACACTTGGCTGTTCTGAATAATAGCAGGGTCACAAAAAGTCAGGAACCCTTGCATTTCAACTCTGGACCATACCTGAGACTCCACCCATTAATCAAACACATGCTTCATGGAGGCTCGAATGTAATGCAAAGACATGAAAGTCTTCCAAGCTCTATGAGAAAGATGGGCTTAGAACAGTAAGTGTGGTCTATGGCCTTAGTATCTTTTTTCACAAAGCTTATAAAAAGAGTGAACATTTACCTAGAAGAGTGATGAATTTCTATCTAGAATACTCTTGGCCAGTAAACAGATTACCTTGTAGCTGTGGGTAATTATGCTGCTCACTTCTAAGCAATGCAGAAAATCAATTTTAATTAAAAAATCATTTATGTTGGACTGAGTCATGCCCATTTAGGAAAAAAAATATATATATTGACCTAGGAAAGTTCCGTTAAGATGCAGAATTCACTTTCACAGTAGCACCCAGCTCTTTAAACCCAATTTTCCAATCAGATTGACAGAAGGACAAAGAGGTCAAACTATTCAGATGAAGTCAGACTCATGCTGAGCTTATCCCCAAGATCATCTTGACTCCCCATCTTTCATTATAACGACTTAACAGATGGCTTCTATCAATTTTAGTCTTTTGTATCTTCCTTTTTAGAGAAAGTTGTTAAATTCTGTTCTGTCACTGCCAGTCACGTGACAGATGCTACGAACCTTTGACAAACAGATAAGGCAAGGGTTTGATTGAGCCCTCATTCAAGACAGTATCCCAAACCAGAAAATTAGTTGTGTGTGGCTTACCTTAAAGTATACATGAGTCTTGTGAAACTCAATGAGACTTAAACAAGTGCTTATAGCTGGGATGGTATATAAAGATGTCTTGGTTCTGGTCCCTGTGAGTATTCATAAATTCTGGGAATATTATTTTATTGAATTTGAATAGTAGTGGCTATACCTATCTAAAGTGCATGTGAAGCAAATATTAATTTCATCTCTTCATCTAGGACTACAGTGCCATCAGTGATTTTGAAGCATGGGCTACTTTATAAGATTTAATGTTATTATTTCCAGAACCATGACAAGAATTTAAAAACCTAAACTACCATACAGATAACATGAGGGGCACTGTTTTGCCTGAAGAAGTGTCTTAATCTCATACTGCCAATTAGGAAGAACCCTATTGGGATAATTAAGATGAATTTTTTTAACTTTCATTCTATGGGACATGTAAGAACCTTCTTAGGTTTGGTCCTTGTACAGGTGTATGCAGAATATTAAGTGATAAGACACCTTCAGAAAAATAAAACTTTGGTGTCATCTTCTAAAAAGGTTAGGTGTCTAAGGCTGCTTGCTATGCACTTGTTAGACAAGGAATATAAATAGTAAACCATATCCTCGCTACTCCTAAATAATTTGACATTCACGTGGTCTGTTAAAAAACATTATGTTTTGGTTTTGTTTTTCACACTGATGCAAAACTCTGCAAAATTACAGTCTAGCATTTTTCTTTTTTTTTTTTTTTTTGTCTTAAATATTGATATAGAAAAACATACACAATAAAAGGTGCAGAAAGTGCAGTAAGGCTAGTTACCAAGAAATACACACAAATATACGTATACTCAGTTTAAGGGCAAACTAGGGAAATTAATGTATTTTCACACCATTTCCAGCTAGATCTCTGCAATGCCATTCTTCAAAAATGTGACTTTGTTTTCTGGTTTCACTCTTTCAATCACTGCTTCTGCATAAATAGCCCTTCAAAAGTCTTTTTCTAGCCTGTCATCTCACCAAGCTATAGACCAGAAGGAAGTTCTGATCCTAGTGAGCAAAGGAAACCCTTTAAATGCCTCTCCAACATATTTGAAATAATCTTGCCTTTCCCTGGAAGCTGACTAAGAACAGAAAAGCCTGCATGTACAAATGGGATCCCAAAAAAGCGCAAATGAATAGTCAAAGAAAAGGTTAGCAAAGACACAAAGAGGGAGATTAGAGAGCATCTGCAGGGAAAGCTGAATGGAGGAGGTAGCCAAAGGCATCCTTAGAAACCCAGAGAGATTTATGTACTGACTCACATAGGGTATATGTGTACATGCAGATGAGTGAGTGCTGAGTGAGAAGTGGAAAGTGGAAGAGGAGAGAAAAAGTGGACAGCTGACAAGAACTGGTGTTAAGATATCCCAGGAAGACATTGCTTTTCCAGGTTGCCTTTTCTGTCTTTTCTGTCATGCAATTGTGAGTGCATCAGATGAAATGATTGCTCAGGATAGGTAGTGAGTATGCACAAACATTAATGAAGAGGAAAACATCTTCTGTTTTGGCTGAGCATCTAATTAAGTAGACGCTTAGCTGAGGTTTCTATGAACTTGACATAAATTATTTAAAATTAGAAGTCAGGCTGGAAATATCAAGAAAATATCATGAGAACAGTATTTTTGCGTTCTCTATCTCAGCTTTTCCATTCCCAGTGAAAAGAACAAGTGAAGAAAACATAGTGGTGACTGATACACATGCGTATATACGCACCATATGACCAGATTTCAGAAGCTCACTGGAAGCTGGAGTCAGATTAATTTTCAGAAAAGAACGCAAACCAGCTATTAGTTGGTTTTCTGTTGTTTGTTTGGGTTTTTTACAAAACCTTCCTACAAATGAAACTGATTTGGGTAAGGATTTAAGTTTGGGAGGAAGTAAGGGAGGAAAAACTGTATTCTTCTGGAGAATGTTGTTTTTAAAAAATACAGAAAATTCTTTACTGTAGCTATTTGAAATAAGTCCTATTTTGGTTAAGATACTAGTGCAGAGTTTGGGAGGTTATATTTTCTGCTGTTGCACAGACCTTGTGACTTTTGGGAAGTCACTTAACTTCTTTGAGGGTTGTTTCCCCAACCATAAATAGGGTTGTTCTCAAGCAATAGTTGCTACCAATCTAGAGTTTAGGACCTATAAAAAAGAAATTTTAAATTGTTCATGTGCTACTAGTATATTAATCGTTTACATATCTAGAAGAGGTATACAGTTTGCTGTCTGAACAAATTAAAAACCCATCTAATTCCATGTTTCATATTTAAAAGAAAAATAATTTAACAGATCACTGTGAGAATCACTATTTCTTTAAATGCATCTCTTCAATTAGAACTTGCACATGACTTAACAAAGCTTAAACACTTACTGTCATTGTCCTGTAGATTTTCAATTGCTGATAACAATCTTGCCCTGTCTTCTGGGTTTGAAATATTTAATTCAATCAGGTGGCTCTCCTGTAGATCCTTTAAGTCCTCTAGAGTTTCATAGCCATTTAGCAAGAGGGTTGAGGTATATTCCTACAAAAAAGAAATAAGCAAATCCTCTCATGTAAACAGGCACTATATTTAGTAGAGGAATAGACACAATTTCTTTTTTAGTTTTTTGTCAGATTGAAATGGGCTTCACTCTCCAGTCCAATCGACATGATTTTGGCATAAAACCAGAGCTGGAGAGCAAGAGAGGACAGAGGCGGAGACGCCTGGGGGACCTCCTGACCATCCTAGCATCTGTGGCTGAGTTGTCTAAGAGAATCTGGCAGCAAATTGGACAAGGACAGAGCTCTGCCAGAAATGGTTGAATGGGCTGAGCTTCTGGACTTTTGTGGGTCACCCCATGAGTGCCTCCCATGCTGGGTCTAGCAGGCCCTCTGAGGAAGGGCATCCTCTGCCTTTGCACAGAAGGAGCCTTTCGATATAGGCGAGGGTGAGAAGCTGAGGGAGCCCTCAGCTGTGCTGTGCCCCACATGGTCCCCCTTGAGCTGTGTGTCGATGCAGTGTGAAGCTCTGTGCGTACTCCAGGGACAGGAGTGTTTGCATCAGCACCAAAACAATAACCGTTATTAAAAATGTTACCTGTAAATTATGCTTTGACACTCAGTTGAGAACTAGGGTTGCAAAGAGGGAGAGAGGCACAACATGAGCATAATGCAAAAAGACTATTGCTCCCTAACTATCATGAGAAATTAGAAGCCCAAATTCTAAAGGTTGGCGCTGGAGTCAGACTGCAGTCCTGTCCCTGAGGTGTCCACAGTCACACACCTCCTACCCTTAGGCACATAATCGCAGTCAGGTTATGGTGACTTGACAGGTCACCACTGTGCCTCTTTGCATGAAGTCTCAGCCTAACCAAATGATGTGATAAAATGCAGTTCTATAAGCCACTCACATCAGATAAAAGACAGACACGAAGCTGCTTTGCTTTGCTGATATCAAAACTGCTGAAACTTGCCTTTCTACTCCAGCCTGTAAATGACATACAAACCCAGGCACACAGAAATGAAACATTTCAAAAACAGCTGGGAAATGTGTTGGCTGACCTGCAGGTGGACACAATCCAGGAGTTCCTGCAACGTTTTTGGCTTGGTCCTTTTGCTTCCTCTGCGTGGCTTTATCTTTCTGGGTGCAGATTCCTCTTCCAAGATAATATCCACGTAAATGAACTTGAAGTTTCCTACTCTGTTGTTCAGCATGCCTGTCCATATACCCATGGGGGTTTTACAGATGATATCTATAATGTCTCCTTTCTAGAACAATAAAAAAAAGGCATACCACAGCTTACACATCTGGTTTGTTATATGTAGCTTTTCATTTGTGGACCAAAAATAGCACAGACAGCACAGAATGCTAACTAGTCAGTGCGAAGTAACTTTTAAAAATTAACTACAATTATTTCCTTTACTTTTATAAAAATACAAAAAAAAAAAAAAATTACAGAAAATGGAGTTGATCCTTATCTCCAAACCTTTGCAAAGGAGAGGTGAGCATAAGCAGCCCTTCTCACCATTTTTGTTCTCCACTTGGTCCTTGAAATAGGTAGGGCTGCATCAGTAATCAACTTTTGCAATGGCTAACGGGCATAGCTTTGGCAAAAAGCAAGGGAATGCTGTGAGATTATTTTCCAAATACGTGCCAAACCATTTACACAGTAATGTTACTCCCCAGCATCTCAAGGATCTTCAAGAACTGATAGCTGAGCTATGTGAAAGGTGGACTCATACCCATTTTACAGTAAAAAACACTGGCTACATTTCTCAAAGGCAATAAAGAGCATTTAACTCCCTTAATATCTTCTTGTCCGTACAGTTTCCCAAAGTACTGAGAAATTTTCTCACTGTTATTAACTCTGTTGACTGAGGAAACATTGGATGGCACCTTAGACAGATCTAAAGGCTTCAGCTCTCCACACTTGTGCATTCACTCACAAGGGTGAGTGTACAGAAGAGTGACAACACAGCTGCTTCAAGAGGGCTTTTTGGTAAAGGTGTTCACAGCCATGCCGTGGGAACCAAAGTCTCAGCTCAGCAAAACAGTCACTCTGAGTAATTCTCGTAGTAAAAAGGCTCCCTTGTAAGTCATACCCCCTATGCAACTTCCTCCCATGACCTCAGAATTGAGTCCTCTCTTCTGGGCAGGTACCGCAGACTTAAAACAACGTTGAACATCTTTAAAGAGTTGTCCAACAAATCCCCACATACACACTTCATTTGCCATTCTGTTACAAAGTTACAAATCAAACTCAGCTTGTTAAAATATCTGTTAAACAGCTCCAAGACTTTCAACTCTTTTCTGGTCTGGTCAAGAAACTGCAAGTAAAGCGGTCATCCTAGCTTTGGTGTAAACCCAAGTGTGAAATCGACTGTGTTCCAGTGACCTGGTTTTGTTAGAATATGGAGCTTAGAGCTACCAGCACCTTTGAAATGGAAACTAAACAACGTTTGTTTAAAGCTCTATAAACACACGTATTATTCTACATAGTCATGGAGGCTCAGGAACTTCAGACGGGGATGCAAATCAGGATTAGGCAGTGGCTCTAAGCCAAGCTTCAGAGGCACTTTGAATTCAGATTCAGGCTACTGAAATTTTGTGAGATAATTTTAGGGGATTTCAACCCTAAGCACTAGTTTATAATTCTAAAATACACTGCCCCAGTGACTAAAAAATGAATCCATGTGAGCCAGCAGACATTTGCCATTTTGTGACCAGTTAAACTGTTTTGAAAGAAATGCCCTAGTGTGGGTGGAAGTGGAGGGCAAGTGGTGAAGACTGCAAGTACTGGCAGAGCAATGGCCGTAAGGTAGGCCAGAGAGGAGGAGACTGCAGTGAGATACAGATGAGGATTTTGACGAAAACTGTGAAGGCTGTGAAGAAGAAGAAAAGATGCTGAAGTGTGAATATAATCTGGATATGAAGGTGATTACAAAGAGGGAAAAGAAAGAAGACCAGATTACAGACATGAGTAGTCTGAGGGAAGATGATACTGAATGTATCATCTTCTGCATGGAAGAAGCTGGGCTTTTTTAGTAACGTTCAACTGGGTCCACATCTGGTGATCCTTTGTCTCACTCACACAAGCTGGACGCTCCTGTCATGTTGTCACGGCCAGAGAAAATTCATAGTTCAAAGGTATGCTTAAAGAAAGACTTAAGGGAGAAGTGAACTGTTTCCATTGAAAACAAAAAACACTGAGCTCTTGATATATCCAGGTGTGACTGAAAGAGCTGAGGAGGCAACTTCACATCCCATGAGACTCAGGTTTTTATTTTTCTACACTTCCTAGCATGTGGGAAGCAACATGTGTTTTACTCTGAGGAAAGCCATGCTATCCCAGTAGATACAATGATGAGGTACCTATCTGGAGTCCGTGCCTTAAAAAGCCTTTAGCAGACGTTGGCTGTCCAGCATCGTCTGAACTAAGTTCTTACAGAAGCATTGCAAAACCAGATCAGTCTTGCTTTTAGAGTGTTACATGTACTTAACAGTCAAAAAAAGCATTAGAAAACGTACTCCTCACACGTGAGAAATGCCCCCCTGGCACTCTTGCTGGAAAAGAAGAAATCCTGATGGTTGTCTTACCTTAATTTTCAGAGAGTCGGTGTCATAAGGACTTGGTGTGAAGTCAGTGTGAACTTTGGCTCGACCACAGAAGGGTCCACTGTAAGGGACTTCATCATCAAATCGGAGGCTGTCCCTGTTGCTCGTTCCATCCGAGCAGCTGGTCACCCCACCTTAAAGAGAGTCAAGTTGAGATCTCCTGCACCAAATGCCCAGACATGCAATTCTGCACAGCAGCAGAGAGGAAAGTGTTCAAAACTACAGAATTAGAGAAAGAGTGCACTCTGTGTGGTTTTGACACATGCCAGGAAAAATACATTCAATAAAAAGCATGCTACAAGAAACCAAAGAAAATAGGTAGGAGATCTTTCATTAACATCTTCCCTACAGTAATCTTTTTCTGATGATGTTACTAATAGACTACACTTTTTACTTACAGACTTTTTGAAATATTACCTCTGCAGATTAATAAATTGCACTCTAAAAGTGCAATTTAGGGAATTAATTCTGCTGAACTTCCTCTGTTTATTTAGAGAAATGAAAACAAGTACTGTAGAAGTTATTTTATTTCATTACAGAACTAGCTGAAACATCAAAGGAACCTGCATTGCAGAGGGAAATTTTAATCTTACCAACATTTCTGCCTGTCATTTTACCCAAGTTGAGCAATAAAATATCGGCAGAATAATTCAAGCAAATTTAAGCAAGCTCTGCAATATTCCATCCAAATATGTTTTTAGATAAGAGCAGCAGTGTGTTGGAAGTAAACTCCCATATACAATTTTCGCAAATCACATCATAGAAAATGATCGTAAAAGTGGTTTTGTTTGAGATGATTGCCTAAGTGCACATCTCCATCTCAGGGCCAGATTAACTACTAAGTGCAAATGGTCTGGACTGCAACTCGAGTTTCCACTTAGGGTTCACGTGGTGCCTGCAGTGATGGCACAGCAACATCATCATGGACAGCTGTCACCTGCTGCCCAGAAAATGTCTACAGCAGAGCAATGGATAGATTGGTGGAGGCAAATTCCATTTCTTATTAGAGATTCATCTGCCCTCCAACAGGGACTACCCCGTTGTGGAAGGGTTTTCAGTGGGTTTGTAGAGAAGCAGACTGTGTTTCTCTGCATCATGACCTGAAGTCGCCAGGTCCGGCCCCCATCAGCTATCATCTCAGAGAGACCTCTCGCTTTGGTCTCACATCTGCAGAGCGAAGAATGAACTCACGGCCACTACCCCAGACAGGACAGTTGTGTGGCTGTACCCAGTGATTGCAACCCTATGGGTGGCAGCATCATAGCAGTGATAGCCCCCCAAAACATTTATGGCATATATACCAGCAACATCCCCTGTAATCCATGTTATTTTTTTACTACAGTTAATATTTCCACTCTTAAAAACACTCAGCTTATTTCTGGAGAGAGGTATATCTACCCTAGCTGCCACCCATTTAATCGAATTATACTTTTGTCTGCCAGATTGAAGAGCTCCCCACTATACATTTTTGATCACCAGCTCTGATACCTCAGACTTAAACAATAACAATATTGATCCAGTGACTGAATAAGAAGTATGGATATCTTGTACTTACTAGATGAGCTCTGGCCACTGTTCAGGCTATAGAGACTTTCCATAGAGTCACTGGCTTTTAGGGAGACCTTCTCAGTGTGTATTCCACCACCAGGATCACTGTCATCCTTTCCTTCTTCATTCTTTAACACAAAAATCAGATGTTAATCACCAAGAGATGTATTTTAGATAAACATTTGTTTTTTTTCTTTTAAATAATCACTGGAGATTAAATCATCATTAGACTTTATGAAGAACCACTGTAAGAGAGAAAGCATTTTAGAAGTTGATGCCTGATACTAAGGATGCCCAGTACCACCACTTGTTCTTGGTGATCCTTATGATCTTGGAGAAATCCCCTGTCTCCTCTCTGCCCCATTCACTTCATTCCACTCCCGCTCAAGCAGCTAAACTGATTCTTCATCTCAGAAGACTGCAATATACCACAGCAGTGACAAAGGCTTGTAACGGGAAATTCACAGGGTGGCAGATAAGGTGGGATTTTTTCTGATTGTCTCTGTGGAGGAAGTATAAAGTTCAATTCTAAAAGCACATGGTAAAGTGCTAATTGAGGCAGCTGTGTTTTGTGTTGAACTTCTGAAAACCATGGGCACTTGGCAGCAGGCTGGAACCCTAGCCAGGGCATTCAGGAGGCAGCTTGCACACATGTATGGCATCGATGTGTTCTAGCACCATGCTCACTATGTTGCCCCACCTACACACTGGTCTCGAAATCCAGTGCATTTCAGAATTAACAGATGCATGTTTCTCTCACAAAATCTAACAGTGTATGAAATTGTCCTCTTGAGTTTGCAACATTAAGTCACACCTCAGGAATCACAGCTTATATACTTAATGAATTCAAAACAGTAAGATCCATATTTCAGTCACAGGTAAGTTAAGGATGATGTAACAGCTAAATGAAATAATGATGAGCTTTCAAAGGAAGGAGTTTCTTCAGCAGGTTTCATCACGTTGTCAATGTGCATGATACCGTGATGCACATGAAACAATCTGCAGTACTTAGGATCTTATGCCATATTTGGGGAAATGTTAATTATTCATCAGTTGACTGATGAAGTCAAGCAAAGATGACTGTGCATCTGTGAGGTAGGGACCCATACAGGTATGTATAAGGCATAGCATCGAAATGAACGACTATATTGGTTTTCAACAAGGACAGTGCTTGTTACACCAGTCAGCAGCACAACTCATAGATTAATCAGTGGACTGGTATTGATTGTCATCATGTCCTGCAGGAATGAAAATCACGCTATATGTGTGTCCAACCAGATAATTCATTAAAATTCTGTCATGTGAATAGTTGCTGTAAACGTGCAGATGGCAAATGTTGAAACTTGGATTTTTCTTTCTTATAAAAATTGTGGATTGCAACCTCATGAATTTTAGCAAAAAATACAAACTAAATTAATGAAATAGGAATCCTTGCTTTGACCTCCAAAATCTGTCTAAAGGTATCCTGTGAAACACTATTTTCTACTTGTGAAGTTTCTTACTTGTTTTCTCTACTTATCTGATATTGACGCATGTGAGATAGGGTGCAGATTGGCTAGATTCTTTAGGGTGGTTAAGTATGACAAGTCCTTTTTCCTTATGTGTTTTAAAAGTTGGAACTCACTGACAGAAGATATTGAGAAAATAGGGTTTGCAGTGTGTGAAATATTAAATGTTTTTTATGTTTAATAAAGATAGGTTCACTAAGATTAGATAAGGTAAGAGCAGATAAGGTGTATGAGTTGTCATGCTCTACGATAGGATGCTGACTGACCTCTACAAAACGGACTTTGGAAATAATTCTTGTATTGAAAGATAAATTCTTCTAATGAAGCAGTTTGTACAGGTTGAGTATCAGACTGCCAATGAGGTTCATCCGATACTCCCTTGTGTCCACATCAGGAGATTTTCTTGTGATGCTTATAGACCTGTTCCTTGATGAAAAAGCAAAGTTCACTGTTGCAAAACTCCTGTGTCCATCCTGGGCCCTTACTGTGTGATGCTGTAATTGTATATGTGCATATGTGTATACATTATCATGCACAGGAAAGAAAAGGTACATACTAAAAGCTGGTTTAATTCAGTATGTGTAACCATGTTTTTATGGATTCTCATAACTAACAGCTGCTTGAAACATGAACAGGACAAATGCAGGTAACATTGTGCACATGTATTATCATCAAACACAAGAGTCTTAAGCTCTATTTACCATGTCCTCAGAGAGTGCCTTGATGTACTTTTTACCCATCTTTTTCTTCATGGTAAGGGAAATGGCTCTCATCTTCTTACCCAAACTTCCTCCATTACTTGCTGCTTTAGTTTGTACTGCTTCTCCAATGTCACTTATGGTCTCCAACTCAGATATCTGATTTGAAATGAAAAAGTAAGCAACAACTCACCATGAAAATGAAATTCCACAAGTAGTGGAATAGGAATTACAGGAAAATATTAAGGACACCAACGCAGTTAGGTGACAAAAATCAGTCATAGCCATTTTCCTGCGGAATCGCGTACCTAAACTGATTTGCAGTACACCACTGTGTGTGTGAATGACAGAAAGAAAATACATTTTGTGGTAGAAAATGTTATTTCCCCTTGTTTATTGTCCTTAATCCAAGTAAGAATTGAGGGGATTTCTGCAGGGGTCTTGAAAACAAAAATTACACATACATGTGCATACATGTGCTGGCTACTTTGGGCATGCATCAACGTGAAGTGCACTTTTGTCTTTTTGAAAAATTGTTTCTAATCTTCACATCAAAGTACCAAGTTTACGTGTGATTCTCTTGTTCATTTTGGCAAGGGCTCAATCACCCAGACAGGTTCAGGTACACAAGCAAAATTCTCACCAGTGTAAAATTTACACAATAATTTCCCAATGTTTTTGCGTAACCATTGTGGGAAAGTGAACTGAAGAAAGAAAAACTTTGTGTTATACAGACCTCAGGTGAATCATCTGTCTTTGATATCGAGTGGTGCCTGAAACGGTCAAAGCTTCCAAAGCTGCTTGTGCGCTGTAAAGAAAAAGACGACAAACCCTGACTCACTTATGGTGGTTTGTTCTGTTATTAAGACTTAAATAAAACTGTCGAGTCACCTGTTTGTGTTAAAGATTCCTCCCAGATCAGTGGACCGTGAACTGCTACATCCAGCTAGAAACAAACTAGGACGTGACTATAGGGGAAAAAAATTGTGACTGTACAGCCAGGAGCAGAAAAATGAATAAGAGAAACAACACTGCTTCAAATACTAATTAGGTAACGGATAGGATTATGAGTTCTTCTACATCAGTTTCACGTTACTTACACACAGATATCTATGAGTTACTTCTAGGTAAAGTTGCTGTCCATGAACTTAGGAAAAAAGTTGTTTCCATAAATATTATACAAGGTATAGAGTTGGTTAAGGTGGTGTAAACAGTGGCAATTTATACAGTTTACTTTCGCAGCTGGGGAGACTCTTTACAGGTCTTTACCAACAGGAATCGGCAAGGACCACTGAGGATTATGAATACATTTTGTGGAGGGAGTAAGTAACGGAATAATCAGGTGGGCCCCGTGTTTTTCTTCCCAATCCTCCAATTTGAAAATCTGATTCCTAAAGGTAAATATGTACAATTTTTCCCTTTGACACACCTTTGCTTAACATAAGAAAGGCTGCATTACCTGAGCGGTGCATTAAGAGACCATGAACGGTCTTCATTCTAATTTTCACCCTTTCTGTGTGTGGATAATTGGCATGGTAAGGAGGGAAGTGGCACAGCAGATTTTTGCGAGAGGTCACACAGAAATACCTGCCAGATACGCCCAGGCAGAGTCTGACACTGCACTGCCCATGGTGGCAAACTTCTTAGAATTGGCGCTGATGACAAGTCAGAAGTCCCTTTAAGCGTGGCCCTAACAACAGCCAGACTTTGGACATTTATCAACTCTACAACGTCTTTAAGGGCTTGTTTTTATACCTTCACCAATGCTCAAAGCTAAATCTGGAACAACTCCTTTTTTTGTAAAGTTTTTCACTCTTCCACTAAATGAAAGTTTTTCAATGAAGTATCAGAGTTCTTGAGCAGGGCTTACACTATGCAATATCATACACTATGCAATATCATCTCAGTATATTTCCAAGTATTCAAAATCCCCTCCGGAGGAAAAGAACCCACTGAACTAAGTAGTAAACCACGAAATAAATATATCCTGAATGATTTAATAAGTGGTTTCAGGCTACCTGGCTACAGGTTTTCCTGTACTTATTCATCCATTTACTTTGCCCACATGATTTCAGCCAAACCTACTTCTTGCTCCCATTGCCTTTTTCTCCCCAAGCCACACAAGCCATCTTTCATCTCCCCCCAAGGTTTCCAAAGCACCCATCGTTCCCTCTTCTCCCGGCATCTCCAGCTACCTCCTTTCACTCTTCACCTGGGAATGCCACAGCCTCAAAGGGCTCTGAGAGCTCCTGGCTCTGCTCTGCCATTACAGCTTCCCAATCTTCTCTACCAGCTAAGAGTTTCCATGAAGTAGCTTCAGAGGCAACTGAGGTAGGTCATCCTTTCGGTGAGAAAAGAGGAGGAGAAAAGGACTGGTTTAATTTAATGTCCCGTTGCCTGCCTTCATGTTGCAGACACGCTTAATGCCGGCATGAACCTGCTTCCAGCCAAGGAAGTGGTGGTCTTACCGTCTTGGTGACGGTAAGGGGAGCAGAATTGGCCCAACACCGAGCGCTGCCGGGAACACCACCCTTGCTGCTCCCCTCCTCCAGTTCCCTACGCGGGTGGCAGGGCTGGTAACGCCGCAGGAGCGCTCTCCTCTGGAAAGCTGGAAAACCAAAGACCCGTTTGAGCCAAGACCTGTGCAGTGATTTCAGCGTCCGGCAAGCTTCTGAGTGCCGGTACGTGCCGGGACCTGTTCTGCCCGCAGCCACCAAGCTGCCGTTTGCTGCTCTGCCTCCTTACGCTCTCCTTTCCTGGCGGCGGTCAGTCCTCCGCGGGGCTCACCGGTCACACCCCGGTGCCGCAGGAGGTGGCGAGGTGGCAGTCAGGCTTTGCAAGCGTGATCGTAAGGAAGGAGTTCCATCAAAACCATACCAGCTACATGGAGCAGACGCATACCTCCCCCGGGTGTTTCCAGCCGGGAAGGACCCCATCTTATTCTGTCCCTGCTCATAAATCACAGGGTTACTACCCGTATTAGCTCCTTTATCTTTTACATGCAGTCACTTTTAAACTAAAAATAGTTTGCAGAAGGAAAAAGATAAGACAAAGAAGAGCTATGGGAAATCATGTGAAAATACTTTGTCTAAAAGACTCCATTTGAGAAGAAGAAAATCAGCATCCCCTGGAACACAACTGAAACTACAGTCTCCTTACTGCTTCATTTCCCTGGTTTCCCACACTTACTTTTTAACCAGCTCCACCCACTAAAAAAAAGATTAAAAAAAAAAAAAATAACGTGGACATAGCAGTGGGAGAGGCCTGAGCACTGCCAGATGGAAGAGGAAAGTGTACCCACATTTTGGGTCCGTGTTCTAACCACTGCAGCTTAAGAGAAAAAGAAATAACATCATTTTTTCACTATTTCTGAGCACATCCAACCTGAAAAATATTTCCAGCCAAAGATTATTTGAAGAAGCTGACCCAGATTTGTGAATATTTTTGGACAAGTAAAATGACATTTATTATTCACTGAGGGGAGAAAAAAAAAGAAAAGAAAAAATCACACAGCTCTCCTCTTAATTGATTGTAATCTCTCAGAAAATCTCTGTTGGCTGAACACTGTGGTTTATTTGTTTGTTTTTACCCTGTGAAATTGAAAAGGACAATTTGGATTGTACACTTTAATTTTATCTAAAATTCCCATAAAGAACTTTGCTATTAAGTAGATGAACAATATCCTGTGACAAGGGGTTAGCTCAATAGTATGATATAAAAACACAGCCCCAAGGATTATGGTTCTATTAGACAGGATTAACACCTTTCACTGGCTTGTCAACCCAGCCAAATGTGCCCTGCAGCATGGAGCGGGAGGGATAGAAAGAGGGAGGCTGGGATTCACAGCAATATTGGGAAAGTATAAAATAGTCTCACACAATGATCTCTAAACATACAGTGACCTTTCTGTTGCATTCAATCACTTCAAGATGTCTAGTAGGAATAACTGTATATTAAAGTGCAGATGTGCTGCAAATACTTTAAAAGGAACAAGAGGAAAAACACTGTTTATTGTTGGTCTTACTTATAAACACCTTGAGGGAAATCAGTTACTCTTTTTCGACCCTTGCAACAACCTTATATCCTACATGTGCAGAAGCCTTGGGCTATTTTGTAGTGTACTTCAGTATTGCTGCATCCCTATTAAATATTAATAAGGGTTACAGGATGAGTTCTACTATTCTAGATAATGGTCTTGTTGCACTGAAGAGCACTGAATAGGGCTGCTTCAGCAATTCTCTATACTAAATTTTTCCATTAAGTAATCAATAGCTACCACCTTTTAAAAATGTATTCAACCCCATTATACTGATAACAAAAAGCAGATTTAGGAGCTCTGGGCTGCAAAGGGAACAGGACTATTACTTTCAATAGTGTCAGTCACTGCATTAGTGTCAGGGAACACCTACTTTGTGAAGATACAGACAGACCTTATTTCCAGGAGAAGGAAGCTTTTAAAGTAAATGCGAAGCTACTAGGAGAAAAAATGCTATTGACTTTTGATACCAGGATTCAGCATCCTATAAAGTTAAGTGATTTTTCTGGCTGGATTCATGCAAGAGCTACCAATGGATACGTTAAGCAAATATGAAATTGCTCAGTAAAATCTAATGCGGGCATGGGCAGGGGAGAAACAGTTTTATTTTCCCACACAAGGACTGATCAAATATTTTCTACAAATCAATGCATTAACTTTTATCCCTTCCCCTTTGGTATAGCGAATTAGCATAATAGAAAATATCAAAGATATTATTCAGTATTTTAAATCCTTCTTCCATCTTTTCCTATATCTTCAATTCCTTGAAATCCGTGAACTTTAAATAATCATTTTAAAGGGGTAAGTGCTATGTAATTGCTGTTTATTTTAATTTGGACAGTCTGCAGTTGGTGATCTAGTTTGTCTGTAAATAGCCTGTAATTTTACACAGAAAATGGTATGGTATACAAATAGAAAAACAACAACAAGAAGAGGTTCTGCAATCCGTGCCTTTCTGTTATAAAACATCCTTCCCGTGTAGGGCGTATCATAGGAGAAGCCAGTTAGTTCTTATGATAAACTAGTCAGAGCTTCTCCATGTCTAAAGATGACCTTTGAGCAAAAACTGACAGCAGTTATCCTGCTAAATAATCATTATGGGTGATACTCATCTCATATTTTCCTTTGGACAATTCACACTCCTCAGAGATCTGGTTCCCTGCTGCGAGAAATTCTGGCCCATTATGTTTTTGCTTCAAGTCCTATTCAAAAGAGCTTTTAAGTCCAGCATGATGCAATGGCTTTGTACTGACCCTCTCACACAAGTAAATCTCTTCAAATTCCTCCATGCATTTTCATTTTTAGCTTCCATTCTTCCTTAGCCTACCCAGACCGTGTAAGCTGTATAGGGGCAAACGCGGTCACCGTGAGTAACAAAAAGGGAGCTCAGCGTGTTGCCCAATTTCCTCCCTGCCACAGACACTTGTATTTTTCCCTCTCTGCTCAGAAGAAGCCACAGCAGCTCCCAAGAGGACAGTCTGTGCGTGCTGCTTTGATCGATGGAGATGAGTGGAGCTCAGGATTTGTATTCTTGTATTCTCTGATGCTCCTGGTCCCTTCAGAAGGGGGAGACTACTTTGAGAATGAAATTAAGAGTTACCAAAATAAGGATGACTATTTCCACTCTGCTAGCTTATCTTCTGGCATAGGGATCGAATCAAAGAAATTGTCTGCTACTTTCCCAGAAGGCAAGATAGCAATTTTTAGCTTCTGGGGAGTTCTGTGAAAAAAACAACAACAACAACAACAAAACCCCCTTAATTTCTGTA